AATTTTTCTGAAAAAAAAAAGTTACTTTTAAAGAATAACATTGTTTTTCATTCGTAGCAACAAAACTGATCCCTCAAGTAAATTATTGTTTTTTAAGCGTCAGAACTAAAAATTTGATTAGAAAAATATCAGTTTATTTTAAAATACAGTAGATTTCCTTTATTCTAGTTTTGATTTAATCCATCCCCAGTTTTAACGGGGCATACTTGTACTCATTTTCTTCTTTTGCGAAATTTGCATTACTATTTGCATGCATTTGACAATGCATATTTTTGGAAAATTACTGTAATCATGCACATGTTGGTTATTTTAAAAGTATCAAGAGAAAAAACCCTAAAAAAGCAGTAAAAACATAACTAATGATATTCTTCAAAGAAGAACATAACAGCTTAAGAGCATTAATAAGTGTGTCAAGTGACGGAATCAGAAAGTTTTCTCTTAGCTCCTTCAAAAATTCATTTCGACGCTTGGTTTTCTTGGCATTTTTCTAACTTCGCTTCCAGAGCTGCTTGGCTATACATTGAAAATAGACGCATGCGACTGGCGGATGGGGATGAAGGGGATAGTAAGCGTTCCGCCGCATTAGATATTTTCCACATTTCCAGTTTAATACTTTATAAGCCTTTTGGCTCCGGGGAAACTGTGTATATTTTTTGCATCACTGAGCAACTTGAGCAAGGGAAAAAAATAAAGCATTGGCTTGCTGGTTTAAACTTACAGTAGTTCCACATTCACTCAACGAATCAGTTAACACAGATTACAAGCTTAACTGGCTTTAAGATTCCATTATTCCCACATTATCTTAGTTATACGCGACAGTTTTCTTTACTCACTTTTCATGATTAAATTAATTTCGGCCCTCCCTTTTCACGTAGCTTTTCTTTTTTTTAACTTTAAAAGGCTTACAATAAAATTTATTCGACTCTTTTACGCCTAACTAACTGAGTTTTTGACTATATACAAGCTGAACTTTGGCAAACCATGCTAGGGTTATCTGCTGAGAAGGGATGACTTCGTGTCAGCCTTTTCTAAAGGAAACTATTTTGCATTCACTTTACGTACACAGAAGTGACGAAAATCCCATAAAAATTGTAAAGTTGAGAACCGAGCCAGGAAAGAGCTTCTAGCATTCAGCCTGTTTCTATAGCAGATGATGTGCAAATGAGATATGAAATAACACAAATACATTCAAAAACGTATGCTACATTTCACATCTTCGTATAACTTGCTATATGCCGCAGATGTCTGCCACTTTGTGGTCGTGAAGGGAAAGGTCTTTCAACAACTTCATTTGCATGCGTCCATCGTACGAGTTTCGATTGTGGAAACAACAAAATCTTTTGGCCAAACAAGGAACTCGTTATCAGTCAGTATGATAGCGTACATGAAAGACGGTAAGACGACATATTAAAAGCACAAGATGGAGCAAAGACATAACTGACCCATGAAGTAGAGAGTGACGCCGAAGCGTATCGTGGCCCAAAAGCACAAGTAATCGCTCCTCCAGAAATTTTCTCCAGAACTCTGTTTTGACCAAAACTGTGAAAGATGAACTCCATTCTGCGAATAAATATTTCGCAGAATGGCAATGACAGAGTGGGAATTCATAAACTATTGGTGGCATCATGTAGCGACTTCAGTGATGCAGAGATCACCACATCTGAGCCCTGCACCAATGACAATATATCATTTGCTATCAGCACTGACCTTACTGCAGATCACTTGATGCGTAGCGTTTACAGCTCCCTGCCTTTTCCTGACTGTGGAGTATGGAAATGGGTCTGTTGGTATCGGATGTGATACCTTGGCATTTCCTTGGCCCACTTGTTACATTGCATGAGAAGATCAAAGCCGATCACTATCATGTTCATCCTTTTGTCTATACTTTATTCTTTAGACTACAACTTCTTGTTTAAGATGACAACGCTCCAATCGGCACTGCTAAATTGTTCAAACATGGTTAGAAGAGCATGATGATGAAGTAGGACATCTCTTTTAGCCATCTCAATCCCCTTCACTGAATATTAAGACTTCAAATTTCAAACTAGAATTTCATTTCCAGTTACAGGCCCACCAGCGGCCGAGCGGTAAAGTCGCTGAACACTGGTAGTTCGGTCAGAGGTTCGAATCTCGCGAACGGGCTGGCTGCATGGGCGTTTTCATGGTTTTCCCCATGTGTAACGTGTATAAGAGCCAGTTTCCCTTAGAAAGTCCTCCACGAAGGCATCCCTCCCCTTAGGCAGATACCCCTCGAGGCTTTGCCATAATCACACACACACACACATTTCCAGTTACAATTCCAGAATTACAGTCTGTTCTGCAGGAGGGATGGTTTCACATTCCTTAAAATGTTGTTCAAGATCTGTGCGTCCATATTGTGTCCGATATAATATGTAATTCAATCAAAGGATGATCCAATTCATTATGATAAAGAGTTTTTATCCTTATTTCTCAGGTGGTCGTATTATTTTGTACTTCATCTGTGTTACTTTACAGATTCTGACCGTATGCATTTGTTTGGCTGAGCGGTGCAAGCTACAAGCTATTAATGAAAAAGAAATAATAGGATGAAATGAAAGGAAACAGCAATTAAAATGTAGCGAATATATTGCTACACCGTGTGCAAATTACCAGTAAACACACCAGTGCATAAACATATGGCGTTAGAAATGTCTTTTATTAATTGAGGGTACCTTGTAGATGTGATACTGGTGTCATACTTAAACGAACACGTAGGGAAGATGCGCTAATACCTTATATTCTTCCGCATTTAAAGGAGAAAATCCATATGGAAAAGAGAAGCTCAAATTTAACGGTAGAAAATATCATACTTTCTGCATAAGAAGCATAAAAAATCAACTCCCCAGAATTCAAACCATGGATTCGAATACTAGTTGAATCTATAAACAAGAACATGCACGAGAGGTGACGATAATTTCATACGAAATAACCGCGTTAAGTAAAATTTACTCTCTTTTTGAGACATTTTCTAGCACTCTGAAACATCTATTCACAATTTTAATTCATTCCCGAAGGCCGAAATCAACCGAAATATTTTCCGCATATGAATTCATGTAAAACAGGTTAATTCGTTTCTGGTCCACAAATGATTGTTTATTTAAACTTTATAACAGTATTTCATGCACAAATTCGTATGCCGAAACTAATGGAAACCATTAAATGTAAAACAAAAAGATTAGCTCTTAAACAGATAAAATAGATAACATTTAATTTAAATTTACGTTTAATTTTACCATTCTTCTGTGGGGAAAAGAAAGGATGGCATAAGTGAAAATCGCTATGCTGTAGATTGCTACTGCTTTATCAGAATGATGTTTTAAGGAAACTTTTTCCCTTATTCTATTGCGCATATTTCTTGGATTAGAGAATTACGATAATATTTCTTCTCCTTCTTCTGAAGATATATTTCTTCCACAATCATCTTTTATTGCTGCTTTTGAAGTTTTTGTAGTTCTTTTTGAGATTAAGCTCATTTTTATGGACCTTTATTAACTTCTCCACGTTTTGATTGTTAACTTCCTAGCTTATAATTTTTCTAGACAGGCATAGGTAATGAAAATGTCCCAGGTGCTCTAAGTCATTGCCTACAGCCCAATCTGGCCATAATTTCCTCTTAGAAAACAATTTCCACCAGGAAATCCTGGTCACCTGGTGCCAGTTTCTTCGAACGAAACTGGCACCAGGTGACTTCAGGACTAATATTTCAGCAATCACGCATGTTAATTCAAATTAAGTTGTTATAATAATGTTAATTAAAATGTTATAATAAAGCCATGTTAATTACAATTAACGTGACAAATGTTAATTTTAATTAACGTGTGTGATTGCCCAAATATTGGTGCTATAAGTCGCCTGGTACCAGTTTGTATTATTGAAAATTAAGCAATGGAAGATATTAACATGTTGTTTCCAGAAGTGCGTGAGTGTTAAATCGGGCATAGGTACCTCAAAATACTTCTGAATATCATAGATTGCAGACTTGAGTGGTTGTAGCTCGAGACACCGTTCGTCGTCCAAGGTATGTTTCGCTTAGATAATTTGTTAGCGAAATCTGTCCTTTACCTGAGATGTTCGTGACTGGAGGTTCCACTATAATTTTCAAGGAAAGAATTTTATGCGTAAAGTAAAGGGAAAAAAATAAAAGTATCTGTGTTATGATAAATAAACAGCAAAAGAAAAAAGTGCATTTTCATTATTATGGCTTTTTAAATTTTACCCCACCTTTTTTCATTACACAGAAATTTAGTTGATAGTGTTTTGTAACATGATGATAAGTATGAATTAACTCATTTAGGTATCTTTTACTATCCCATCACGATATCATTCAGAAATGACTTTTTTGAATTCCATATGTTTCATGAGTGAAAACACCTTTCGTTGATTGGACAACAGCTGTTCCATTTGCGAGGGAAATAAATGAGTCACGCAACACGTGGAGCATAAGTAAACAAAGCATCAGTTTTATTCATGGTTAAAAAAACTTCGAATCATCACCTACTTTCATTCTTTTTCAACTGCTCCTTAACAAATTTAACTGCATCTAAAATATAAGACAATAAGGCTATGCTCTGTATAATGAGTCACTCTTATAGTACACATAGCTTAGAATTGAGGAAATCGCCGTATTAAACTATTTCTTTACAATCTGGATGAGTACTAATGTAAAATTAACTGTTAAAGACATTGCAAAGTTTTCAGTTTACTTCACAGTTTTAAAATTTCTGGGTGTTTGCGGGAACTAATTCTCTTTCAAAAAAAATCTTAATAATTTATTTTTCTTTTCATATAATCTGTGAATTAAACTGCAAATTTTATTTTAAACAATAAAAACTATAAGAAATTAGCGAAGCATCAACCATATTTTTGGCTTAGATTTAGCAGTGAACTCTATCGATTTCAAGGGCAACCATGTGCAGGTCCCACTTCATAAGGATCAAACAGGTACAAAACAGAGACCCGCACCTGTGTTGAAAAGAGATAATGTAGAGGGCGCTGCTTGGCAGCAAAATGCATATTATGTAGAAAGGAAAAAGGGAAACGAAGTAGCGGTTGATCAGGCAGCATAATTTCTATGAAGGTTGGTCCACCTAATAAAAGGACAAATGTAAATATGTATATAAACGATATAATAAATGGTAAATGATAAAGAATCATCTGATACTTTGTGTTTTTGTACGGACCTTCATAGTTTAATGCAGTTTTTTTATAGGTGCATCTTAGATGGGAAGTTTCTATTTGTAAAGAAAGAAGTAAAATTGATGAGGATGGATGCGTCCAGACCATGGCCCAGGAATTAGGTAAGAGCATGATTATTATTACATTTTAAAAGTATTTGATTTGAATTTTGATAATTTGCAGTCTTGGATACATTTATGTATTAACGCGAAGTAATGGCAGAACTAGATAGATTAAAACGAAAGAGAACGGCTTTGAGAATAATAGTATCTAAACTATTAAAGAAAGTCGAGGATAGTTTAACAAAGAAAGATACAGATGAATTATGCTTTGCATGAATTATTAATAAAAGTAATTTGAAAGAATTAGACGAGGCAATTCATTCCGTAATTGAAATAGATTCTCTAGAAGCGGATGTAGCTAATTGTGACGAAAATCAGAAAAAAATGTTCTTCGAGCTAGTTAAACGAATTGAATCGATTATTAGTAGAGGATAAAATAAGTATTAAAGATCCTGATCAAAACTTGGTTAGACTGCAAAATGTACAAAATACTGTAAAACTTCCAAAACTAGCGTTTTAGAAAAATATTCAGGTGATCCTAAAAAATTTACAGGAGTTTTATAACAGTTACGAAAGCACTATAGACAAAAACGAAAGTCTTAGTAAGATAGAAAAATTCGCATATTTGAAAACATTACTTTTAGGTGCCACGAGTAATGTAGTATCTTCATTAGAATTAAATGCAAAAAATTACGATGAGAGTATAAAAACTTTGAAGGATACGATTTGGGAGAAAAAGAAATAATAATTAGTCAATTCATGAACAAACTGTTAAATTTAGAACCAGTAAATAATTCAAATAAATATTAAAGCTTTACGTAAGGTTATATGATGAAATCGAAATTGCAGTGTCGGAATTTGGAAGCGCAAGGAGTTACGAAGAGGCTCATTTGGTCAGTTATTAATTAATACCTGTGTTATTAAAAACTATTCCAGAAGAGTTTGTTCTGGAATTTAATCGAAGGAAAAACCCAAATGAAGAAATTAATGTATTCAGTCCTTTTTGGACTTCATAAAGCGGGAAACTGAATGCCGTGAAGCGTCGAAGTTTACTGATGCAAGATAAAAGAAATACCTTGCCTCCACGTTTCGAACATGCTAAGGTATGATTATAAAAAAAAAAAAAAAATTCATAGAAATGTACCTACGGCTGCCAGTTTTAATGCTGTTGATAATCGTGCATGCATCTTCTGCGAAAAGTCCCATAACTCATTTTCTTCTTGTGATAAAAGCATTAAAGAAAAACTGTGTAAGTTACGTAACTAAAATAGATGCTTTATTTGTTTTCGAAAATATAACATTTGAAAATTATTTAAAAACAAAACTAACTGCTTAAAATGCGGGTTTAACTCGCATCATGAGTCACTATGCACGAATAGTTCAAATCGTAACAAAACGCAAATGTCTTCCAATCAAAACAAAAAGAATTATGCGAAAACGCGCCAAGAAAATTCAGTAGATGAAACACGAAACTACCCAAAAGAATACACACTTTCTGTCAGAGTCGTAGCTAGGGTTTTCAGCGCCCAGGGACAACTGAAGATTTCGCGCCCCCTACTGCTTGCCAAGGATGGAAAACATTTAATTCTAAAATGTCGTAACATCAGTTTGGCGCCCGGGAACAAATGCCCCCCTTGCCTCCCTCTAGCTACGCCCCTGCTTTCTGTTGTTCTTGTTAAAGATTGTACAATAAATAATATCGTTATTTAAACTTAACTACTACTTCACCTATGATTTTCAATTTATGTTTTTGTTATTACTTTCCTTTTTAGTTGAATGGCAACAATCATTATTTGTTATTGTGAAATAGACTTTCGTTTTTACGTAATGGTTAGAACGCAATGTTCTCGACTTATTTTGATGATGTTTATTTTAGCGATACTAATTTAAGACTGAATTTTTACTAAATAAATAGTTGGTTCATTTATTTGGAGAACTTGTAGTTCATATGAGTGATTTGAAAGGCGTCCGTAACCTTTTGTTTGTAGTTGTTTCATGTAATAATTCATGCAAGAAAAATGCTTTATTGCAAACATGTTCAGTATTTGGTCATCATGGCGGTAGGTCTAAGTTAACGAATTTAATTTTTGATTGCCGTGCTACACGAAGTTTTGTTCAATTAGTGTAGATAAGAAATTAAAATTTGTTGTAGAAGAAACTGTGTGTGTTCATTCTTTCGAAATAAAATACGCAGTACCTGAAACATACAAAGATGTCGAATTCTATATTTTGGATGCGAAGCAAGAAAACAAAATAATAATTAGCTGTTTCGTCACTGACGCCATTACGGCTGAATAAATAACCACGCCGTCGAAACAAACACAGAAAATGAGGATGAGTGTGGATTGCAAATCGCTTATTTATCTAAAAGAAGCATTAGAATTTTCATAGGTGTTGATTATTACTGGAAGATGATAAGGGGAGATATGATTCAATTAGAGAAGGAAATTTATGCGATTTCTACTATTTTTGGATGGGTCGGAAGCAGGACAGTTAGACAATTTCGGAGTAGCATTAAGGCGGTCTCAAAATTAGATTTATTTGAAATCCTGAGATTTATCAACAATTGAAGAGCAAATGAAGGAGGGTATAGTTCAGAACTGTTCGAAGGAAATAACAGAGGCATCGTATTTTATACAGCATAGGGAAGTAATAAAAGCTAAGGAAACTATAAGTTGTAGGATTGTTTACTACGCGAGCTCTTCTAAAGCTAAAGGTGTAAAATCTTTAAATGATTTTCCAGACATTGGACCTAGCTTGATCTCAGTGATTTTGGACATAATTTTAAAATTTCGTACATGTGAAATTGCCTTCAGCGGAGATATAGCTAAGTCCTTTTCAATGATAAGGATCTTAGAAAAGGACAGGCATTATTTAAAATTTTTTGGTTCGGGGATAATGAGGAAGAATATAAAGTTTTAAGGTTAAAGCAAAGTTTTAAGCTTTTAAGTTTTAAGGTTTAAGCAAAGTTCGAATGGAAGGCGTTTAAAAAGCCTTCCATTCGAACTTTGTGTAGTTCAGCAGTTTTAGCGACGACGATAAAGTTCCACATCAAGAAATATGCACAAATACGGAAAGTTACGAAATATAGATTCCTCGTTGTATGTAGACGATTTATACTACGGTGCAGATATCATTGAAGATGAATGTCAATTATCCTCAGACGTGGTTGATTTTTACAGACGCTGAGATGAATCAGAAAATTAAGGTTAAATGCCGAGGAACTTAATTCCTGGTGGATTGAAAGGGCTTATAATTTAGAATTAGCTAAAGAATCAAAATTTTTGGCAATGTTCTGGTACCCCGAAGCAGACAAGATTAAGATGAATTGCGAATTTTTAGAAAATTGATCCAATGACAGTGCTGAGGCCACAAAAAGAACTATTATCCAGAGTGGTGGCCAGAGTTTACGATCCGATTGATGTATTTCAACCCATTTTGATGAAAATGAAAATACTATTACAAAACATTTGGACATTAGGTGTGGGCTGGGATGATACCTTTCCATTATAAATAACTAAGAACTGGAGTCTGCACAACTGGCAAGCTAAATTAAAAATACTCGAGGATTTTTCTCTTCCGAGAAAATATTTTGGTAGTTGTGAAAAATCTAATGCTAGTCTATATGACGATGCTAGCCTTAAAGCATACGCTGATGCTAGCCCTAAAGCGTACGGCGCAGTAGCATATTTTAGATACCTTAAATTCGAAAAATAACATTGGCATCAGTTTCATCGTAGCAAAGGGTCGCGTAGCTCCACTCAAGACTTTGACTCTTCCTCGTTTGGAGTTGATGGCTGCTTTAGTAGCTGCCAAATTGTCTATGTATATCTGAGAAAGCTGTTTTCTGAACTGTGTCATCAAAAGTTTCTTTGGAGTGTTAACCAAATAGCTATCTACTGGATAAAGAGATGTGCAAGAAACTGGAAGCCCTCTGAACAGAGTTTCTGAGATTCAGCCACTCACAGATCTTGAATGCTGGTTTCACTGCAGTGGGAAAGAAAACCCTGCTGACTTTTTATCTCTCCGAGAAAGTGTCTTTCAGCTTGTGAGAAGCTCCCTTTGGTTACTCTTTCAACCTGAATGTGTTTAGCCAGTAAATCAACAGGCAAACATCGATGAGGAGAGCGTTCAGGACGAAGCAAGGGTGGAAGCATTTCTTCAAGTTTCAAAGTCGTAGGAACTCGGCATTACTAGATTTAACTCGATTCAACAGACTACTAAAGGTGTATCGAATTACGGCTTATGTTATGCGGTTTATAAACAATATAAAACGAAATTCAGTGAAACTCAAAGGTCCATTAAGCATTGTTGAAATTTCGCGAGCTGAGCTCTATTGGGTGAAAGTTACACAGGAAGAATACTTTTCGAAAGAGATAGATTCTAGCTATTTCAATTGGAAAGCGCTTAGAAAAGATATCTTCGGTTTATTCACTTAACCTAGAATTGGATACCCGTAGTCTTCTGCGGTTAAAGGGCAGACTTCAATTCTCAGATCTTGCTTTCGATGGAAAACACCCATGGCTGTTTGTTACCTTATAAATATGGATACAGTAAACTAGTAATCTTAGATTTTCATACCAGATTGCTTCATGCTAGAGTCGAAGCTATATTAGTCGAAGCTACATTAGCAAAGTTTTGGATCATAAAGGGATGCAATGCCCTCGCTGGGACTCAAACCTGGACCTCTCGAATACGCACCGAGTGTGCTACCGTTACACCACGAAGGCATGCTGGATGGATGGAGAAAATACCTCATATACTTCCCTTTTAAAGAGCGACTGGGAATTAGCGGAAACCAGTCGCCAAATCCTGGTGGTGTAGAATCATCATCCACCACCTTTTATTTGGGTGTCACTGTAGAATCATTAGGATTTTTTTATGTGGGAGACTTGAAAAAAAAAAGAGCATTGCCCTCCCCGGGACTCGAACCTGGACCTCTCGAATACGCGCCGAGTGTGGTAACGGTTACACCCCGAAGGCATGCAGAAAGGCGGAAGAAACTACTTATAACTGAAACAGCGAATTTATCGACTGCAAAGTAAACCTAAAGAATAAACAGGAATAGACACCGCTGTGCTGTTGTTGCGATTTTTCATTTCTTGTCAGAATTGGCCATTCCGTTCTTTTCAAGAAAAATTGATATACGCGTATACATAAGCAGGCATACATTTCTTTTCAAATGATTACTGACCAACATTTCAGCTTATTTCGTGGTGATATTTAATCCCCCCTCCCGAAGAATATCCACGATAAATTTTAATTTTAGGTACCTTTGCGGAAACATTTGAAGTTCAATTACTAACTGCAACGCATAAAGTCTAGAAACACTTCAGCTCGATCACTATTTTTAACAACATACCGAAAAAGATAAGATCGTGAGTTTGGAAACTTCATTTCTATTTGTTAATAAATATTTGTTCTTTTAAAAGAAAGATAAGAAACTTCTTTATTCGTTTTTATTTTACGCTGAAAGAAATGTTTTAAATCGTTTTTTCTCGTTTATTTCGTTACGTAAGAGTGATGCGACAGAATTTTAACCGATTGTTTTCATGCCAAGCAAATGTTGATCCCCGAGTTATTTTTAGCCTAAAACGTCTGTAGTATAAAACACGGAGGTATCCAAACGTCAACACGTTTGTTTTAAACAGCTACTTCAAGGTCTAGGTCAAATCATAAGCTGCACTACGTCGAAAACAATTAGGTAGTCGTAAAGTCGGCAGCGTGCATCTTTCAAGACACTTTCAGAAATGAAGAACTAGATACAAAGCAATGCAGTCTCCATGCATGTTTAGGAACAACTGATATAGTTGCAAATTTAGAAATAAAAATTTATTATTTTCTGCGTTCAAACCAGTAGAATTTCAATATGAATGAGTACAGCAAATATTATTAAATAACGAATAAATGAAGGAAATAATATGAATAAATGGAAACGAATCTGTGACCGATTTACCAGATTTTAGTGGTCTTATTGTTATTATTATTTACGTGTTCCGCCCTAAGGCACTTCCCGGAAGGAAGGGATGCCTTCGTGGAGAACTTTCTAAAGGAAACTGGGTCGTATTAACACGTTACTCATAGAGAAACCCACGAAAACGCTCATGCAGCCAGCCCGTTCTTAGGATTCGAACCTCGGACCGAACTACCAGTGTTCAGGGACTTCAACGCTGAGCCGCTGGTGGGCCATTTTTAGTGGTCTTACCAGTACGCATTGTTCGATTTACCAGCACCACTGTCAGACGTTAGATGTATGTTGTGGGCTATCCAGGCGTAAAGTAGGCTGAATAAATTTAAACTTTCAATGCACTTTCAACACTAATTAAAATAAATTAATTCTTCATCCGTAATTTCTTATTATGATTGAAGAAATTAATTCATAATAAGAAATTAAGGAAAAAGGATGAATGAAGTAAAATGATTAACCTTCATCCTTAATTTCTTATTTCTTCCATGCGAATTTCATATTCCTTATTCACAATTCTTTAACCTTGATTTCTCATTTCTTCCCTGAGAATGTGGTATATCCTTAATTTCTTCGGAAAATTATCCGAAGAAACATTTAGTAAAGCTTTTTTATTTCAACTAAGATTCATAATCATCATACAATACTTCGAGAACAAATATCCCAGAATAACTAAATATGTGCGCTGATAATGTCAGAACTCTTTGTCGAGGATGTTACTAAATATTTTAATAAATGCGTAATAAAAATTACAAAAAGTGTACATTCGCGGAAGTCTAAAGAACAACTTTGCTAAAACTATTAAATGCTAAAATGACTATGCGCAAACGCAGAGATTTCACCTTTTCTACACTTAAATTAACTAATAGGAATTATAATATTTCTAAAAGAGTCATTATCAATACAATTAACGCGCAATTTCTTAGAATTAAAAGAATCTGTAATAATAAAGAAGAAGTACTCTACTTTGTCAAAATCTTACAAAGCAATCTTATTCCAAAAACAGTCATTAAAAATTCATTAAAATAAGCGGGCATTTACCTGTTATTTTAGATTATTTAATTTAGATAATGAAATTTTTTACTTAATTCCCATAGGAAAGGTGATTAATGGATGGCTAATTCAGATGATCTAATGTAAAAATGTAAAGTTAATTCCTCTCGCCACTACAATTTTACTCTCAACGTTTGGCTCAGAACATCAAATTATATTCTTAAATAAGTTACTAAAGCTTTTTCTGGCCATTCCTTTCCTTTTATTAATTTTAAAGGCCAATTTCGTTTCAGGTAGCTTGCAAGCCCTCTAGCTTGAAGAATTACGACTTTAATTAACAAATTACTGTATTTTTTCCAATTTTCACTGCTTTCTGGCCAGTCTTACCAATTTTTGGAGTTAGCCATTTTGTATTCACCTTCTGACAACTTTCTAGAATTTACTTCGAGCAAGACGCCATTTTGAACAAAAGCCACCATCTTCGGCCTCAACCTCCCCCCCCCCAATTTTTGAGACAGGTTGTGCCCACTGTCTGTTTCTTTTCATTGGCCATAGCTTCATGACGTTTATTTCCCCTTTTGCATCGTCGTCCCACCTAATTGGTGAGCTGAATTCTTATCTTTTCCGGAGGCAGACGGCAATTTTTAGCTCATAGCTTTTTACAGAAGTCCTTGATACAGGTATGTTCAAGATTTTTCTTAACCTTGTTTTAATTTCTCACCCTTGTTTTAATATATATATATATATATATAATTTAAGAAAGGAGAACAAACTGAAAATGACCTTTGTGGTCAAGGATTTTTGCGCATCGAGCTGCAAAAATTAGAAAGTTGGTGTGATACTGTGGTTCCGGTGAATAATTTTAACAGAAGTTAAAATAAAGGGCAATGAAAAGTAAAAACAAGAGAAATGAAATTATCGTGAGAGTACTATCAAATAAAAAGCGAATTTAAAACTTAAATCAAATTTGCAGTAATATGTTGATTTAAAGTTAAAACTATCTTCCCTTTTTTACTAATTTTATTGTAGCAAAATTATCCTAATAATTTATATTCTGGAGAACGCAGTTACAGTAAGCATATAACAAATGAAAAGTATTCATGAATAAACTACTAGTAACCATCTCAATATTATTTATTTAAAAGAAATCTATATTCTAATATGAATATATATTAATATTAATATTACAATATAAAATGTCTTCATTTCTATTCACCTATACTTATTGTTTTCCACTGCTGCTCCCTAGGCCTGCTGCTGAAACTGCTGTCAGTGTGGTCTTTTACAGTTTGTAAAGCGTTGCCATCGTCTACGTCACCGTTCAGTCTGCCATCCCATATGCCCATGTAACCCCATATGGTTGGTAGATGGCTCCCATCTTCAATCACTATGAGGAAGAAACAGTTTTGAAATTTGAACAGAAGATAAAAATATTTGTTAACATATGTTGTGCGTAATAATTCGTTATTTAGATGTAATTTGTTTACATTTATAATTCAGTAATGTAAACTGGATTTTATCCCTCAGTTTGTTAATGTATATTCGCGCTTTTATTTTCTTATTTCAAAGAATTAAAATAAACAGCATTAAGGAATTGTAAAATTTCTTCAGTGTTATTTACAAACACTTGCTATATTCCTCCGTGTTTCTTTATGTATGTACGAATGGACGCATGGTAAATCCTGAATTGTTTTTATTCCGTAAAAATATAATGAATAAATTTTCAACTAATATATCCTAAATTTCAGTGTGTGGGGGGGATTATGGCGAAGCCTCGAGAGCTATCTGCCTAAGGGGATGGATGCCTTCGCGGAGGACTTTCTAAGGGGAACTGGTTCGTATACACGTTACACATGGGGAAAACCACGAAAACGCCCATGCAGCCAGCCCGTTTGCGGATTCGAACCTCGGACCGAACTACCAGTGTTCAGCGACCGCTCGGCCGCTGGTGGGCCCTAAATTTCAGTCTTTTTCTGAACGAAAATTCGTACAGTTCCAGAAGCAATGTGCAGAATTTTATAAGTATTACATCTTACATTTTGAATGCAAACACTGCTTCACATTATTTCATAATAATTATTTACATCTCCTCGCTCTATGCCTATATCAATTTTTTCATCGGATTATTTATCAGTAATTCCTGATAGAATTAGAAATATATATGTTACGGTGAAACACCGAAATCTGAATAATGTCGACTTTCACTGGTAAATGTCACTATTCACATAGTCGCTTGGTGCATGTCCGAAATATTTTCCAAATACTCTTATTTCTGACTTACACCGGTAAATGTCGACATTTACCATGTACGAATGGTGAATGTTGAACATATAAGATTATTATATTTTCTTCTCCGTAATTCAGTCGCGAAAAAACGCACTTGAGACTTAAAATAAGAACTTAACAATATAAGAACTTAAAACAAACAGTACATTTAAAATGGGAAAGGAAAATTATAGAAGTTAAAAACTTACTTCATTATACAGTACGTTCTAAATGAGAAAATAAAATAATAGTAATAAAAAACTTAATACAATATAAAAAAATAATAACTAATAAATAATAAAAACTTAAAATAAAAAAAAAACTTAAACAATAAATAAGATTTGAATCACATAATTTAGAAATAAATTATGTGATTTAAATCTTATTTATTGCAACAACTTAAACTATTATGACACCTTGAATTGTCGACTCCTCTCTTTTCGACCTACACCAGAGCATATCTGTGATACCGGTGAAGGTCCGAATGTACAAGAATGTAATGCAATAGTCGATCTTTCACCGACGTATTTGGTGAATGTTGATATTCTCCGGTAAAAGTCGACATTCTCCAATTTCGGTCTTTCACGGTAACATATATATTATTAGAAAAGGTTTTTCCTGTACATCTCCAAGGGACAGAAATTTAATTAAAGTGATGAATTATTGGAATGAATTTTAGTCAATATTTGAAGTTATTTAGAATTCTGGAAAATATGTTATTTAGATTTGTGATCCATTAAAAGTTATTTTAAAGCTGCGTAGAAATATTATTTTGAAATGTAAAAATTTTAAGTAGCAAAATTAAAAGTATTTAAAAGATAGCTATTGTCATTGATCATAGATTAATTAACTTGTCTAGGGAAACTTCAGTACATAAATCCAAGACTTCAGTACATAAACAATATATTTTTTTTTTCTGACGGGTTAACATGGCTATTAAATAACAAAGAATCTTTGCAAGTGAAACGTATTTTACCATTTCTCTGAATTTAGATTTTTTTCCGAATATTCCAAGCATTTAAAAGAAATATATTTCACAATATTTTACATATTATGTAACTTCGGATGTATTCGTATTTCCTGAAGTTTTGAATATCTGCAGAAACACATATTTTGGTCTATGATTTAGCTGGCTTAGTATATTAAGAAATAAATTTTTCTTTAATATTTTGGAATTATTAACAAATGATTTTATATTAACAAGAAATTGATACATTTGTAATTCCCCCAAAAATTCTTTAAGACTGTCAAATACTTACATAAATTTTAGTTATACATAAATTTGATTCCCCCCCCCCTAAGTACGTGGGACGAACTTGGACGTACGTGTGACAAGTATGTTCCATTAGACTTTGTGATTATTTTGTGACAACTCTCTACTTATTACCGAAATTTGGTCTTTATGTACATATATAAAGCGTACAACATGCATGCAACATAATAATTACGCCAAAATTTTTTCCGGATATGCGCAGTATGCGACATTTGTTTAACACTGTTCAACTCAATGTGCGATCTGCACGGGCAATTGGACTAAAAAAAGCAGGGTGATCAAATCGCTAGACATTTGAGTTAGAGTGATGCTACAATTCGATGATACTAGTAGGAAAGGTTGAAGGATGGCCGCACAGTGCGTCAAGATGTTAGTGGTCAGCCGAGAGCGGCGGCAGATCGCGAAGACAGAGTGATCGTCCGATTGGCGCTCACAGTACTTTACGCATGGTTATCAGCGATCCAATGTGTAACCAGGACACCAGTAACTGCAGAGTCCATTGATAAGTGACGCAGTGAAAGGGAGTTGAGATCACGGAGGGGGCTGCTCTGACTGCCCTTCAACGTTGCACAGCGCCAGGCACGTTTATACTGGTGCCGGGAGCATTTGACCTGGAATCTCACGGACTGGTATAGAATAGTATTCTGTGATGAATTTCGAATTGAAAACTGATGACCAGCGAAGATATATGTGGAGACTTCTAGGACAGCGGCCGGATACTCACTTCACTATCGTTCGTCCCACAGCCCGACAATCAGCAGTTAATACTCGACCGCACACGGCCAGCACCTCCTAGAACTAACTGAATCCAGGGGGTGCTGACACGGCGCGCCTTTCTACTGCTTATCTTCGTGCTACTCCAAAACTTGTCCTGTCCGGCGCGATCGCCAGATCTCTGGCTCTAATGAGCCGGTGTCTTCAACCGTTCCCGGATTGCGCCAATCTAATATGCCGATTATAGCGTGTATGGCAGAGCATATCTTCTAACTTTACGAGTGCTCAGCCCGATAACAACTTGCATCAGAGCCAGAGGTGGGCCAACCCATTACCGACTTTTTGTTTTGTTTTGTTTTTGTTCTTGCAGATACATCTCCTGAATAAAACACTCAATTCCTACAATACTGTTAGCGTTTCGTTTTCAATAAGTGTACATCAAATCAACCGATTTTGGTCCTACTCGGATAACATCTTCTTTGTGCATCGTTTTTTAGTGTGTACTTGTATGACTGCATAGTGTATAGTGAACGATTTTTCGGAACTCATATATTGGTTTATAACGCTTAACCTGTTTAAGATCAGCGTAGCGTATACGCGACGCAACGATTCCACTCTTACCAGACCGGCGTCCCGTATACGCGACGCAACAATTCTGCTCCTACGAGCCCAGTGTCGCGTATACGCAACATTAAAACGGAACGATTTATTTGAATTTTTAAAAGCCAGTAAATGGAGCTAAGTGGCAATTGTTTTCACATAAGGTTAATTCATACGGCATTTGACCTTCATGAAACTATAATACCGAGGGGCTGGTATTATAGTTTCTGTTTTGTGCTTCTGGTTTTGAGAGATTTATTGAAATAAACAAACTGGAAATCACGGCTCTTTATAAGTGCGCCTGTGAATTAAAGTGGCACAGGCGTTTTTGTTTATTTCCTTAGGATTTTTCTTTTCTTTTTTCTGTTTATTTTAAAACTCAACATAAGCTTTCTTGGTTAATTAAAAAGTAACATTACAACATTATTATAGAAGGGGAAAGACTATCAGCTTTCTTGACACCTAATATGCGCCTTGCTCGCATTTCTCAGGGAAAGAGCCAGCGTTTTTGTTTTTCTTACTCAATTTAATAGGTCATTATATAAAATGCCCTGAACGGTCATTATATATAATGACACAGGCATTATATTTATCAGGTTCAATGTTCCGTCTAACCTTCTTCGGGAACATGCAAGGACCTGACTCGGAACAGAGAGCTTACTAAAGCTATGTTCAACAATTGTGGGAAGTAGACAGGATACACAAGAAGGGTATACAAAACCCTTTATTTTTCTCTATTTACAATAACTTCCGTACTTCGGAAATACACAGACCCGCTACTTGGGGTCAAAACGTAAAAGTATAAAAATAAAACTAAACACTAATTTGACAACATACAAAATAATAAACGTGGAAGATTGGCCTTATATTAACAGGAAGCCGTATGTAGTACAGAGAACTGTGAACACTACAATACGTTTAAAAATTATCAAGAGGATTAAAACCTCTGGCCTGGAAGGCAACAGCAACTGAGTAAAACTTCTAAGGTAAGCGGCCTTCTTCGACTAACTGCTTCCTCTCTCTCGCTTGGCAAAAAGGCCACAACTTAAATACTTGGCGTTCGCCAGATTCGCCAATACTTTAACGCTTATAATTCTGGCCGGAAGTAGAAAAAAAGAAGTGATAGTAAAGATTTAAAATAAACGTTAGTAAAACTTAAGATCCTTACATACTTCCGCCAGAGTTAATTAGTTTGAAACTGAGGTCTAAAACGACCTTGTTGAAAACTTTTAGCTCTAGAATCTAATGCGAGGCCAATCTTTTACAAACATTTTTCGCTAGAAACTAGAAATTTAAAAGAAAGAAATTTGTTTTTACAATAGCAGCTCCCAGGACACACAATTTTTTTTCATCTGTACTGCATCTAAACAGGAGCTTTTTATTCAAATCTGGTTCCTTCCAGAGATCTGGAAGGAAAACTAGTTTAATGAAATGTTACACAATGAAATGGCAAGTAACATGTATAATTATATTTCTCTTAACATTCTTATTTCATTCATGACTATTTTAATTATCTCTCCCCGTGCTCTCTGACATGTGTTGTAAAAGAACACCAAACACGAATGTGTTTTTGTCTATGTGTTCAACACTTCCTCCTCCTACAATCAAAACACTAACGTGTTAAAATTCAACATACCAAGACCTCGTAACACACCCTACTTTCAACTCTAAACCCTGAGGTACTATTTTGAAAGTGGCTAACTCTGAAGTGTAGCGTCAGAGAGCCTAACTACATTCATTCAACCTTTAA